ATATTAAATGAAAGAATTTCAATCTAAATGTGTCGGAAAGATCTGAAGGCATAAATTTTGCTACTGAAGCGTCGCCAAAGATCTTGCAATATTCATCCACTCTCTGCACAGTGGCCCAGGCTGGATCTTTAGTAATTTGTACAAACTCCTAGTTCATGGAGACTACATCAAGCCTTCCTCCTGACGTGAGGGGACACAAAGACTGGTCTTTGGGTCTCCCATAAAGCATAGAGCAACAATTGATTAAAACTCTGTGGCACCTAACCACCTCAAAGTCAGGCATGGAATATATCTACTTTGCCAGCCCAGCCGCAACTGGATTTGCTGAGCCGTAGTTTTATGGGTTTGCCAGCCGTGATTCCATTTTTTGAGCCTTGAATTCCATATCTTGGCGATGAAAAGCTATATACGACTTGCAAACTTATTATTTACAATGTCCCAGCTTTACAACTTGGTAATGGGCCTAATAACTTTTCGAGAGTCTGTAATTAATTCTACTCAATGAACAAGTTTATTGTTACCAACAATCAAAGAAATTACTATTTCTAATTTCCTAGATACATGTGCGCGAGTGCTATGAATTTGTACAATATCAATAATAATTAATCCTATCTTAACAGTATTACTGTAAGTTACATTGCTGGACTGCAATCTTTCATGAAGTGACATCAGTTAGCCCAAAGCCAGCGTTTTCCATAAACTTTGAATTAAAAGTTGATTATGAGTAAACATATGGTAAGAATGCTCTTTTCATTGAAGGATGGGTTGTGAATATCTTCAATAGACATTCATAGATTCAACAACCATTAATCAATAGTGACATTATTGTTTGTAAATTATCAATATCTTCTGAAAGATGAGTCAATGGTCATTTGTTTATTTTCTGCTTCAATTTGAGCAATTATGGTTTCCAAATCTGGGTACATTACCAATGACGTCCTGAGATTCTTCTCCAAGCAGCTTTTGGTGACACTGATTGATCATCCTTTCCCACATACTGCCTTGCCATGGAGCCCTTGGAGCAATGAAACACCATTCAATTCTGTTGGTGTCCAGAGCCAGTGAAACAAGCTGAGAATTAGCAATATCTTTCAGGATCTTGGAAGCACCTACAAAATTCATTGCGTTATTGCTGTACATGATCCTTGGGAAGGACCTTCTGGATGCAAATTTGATGGATGCCCTCAAGGAATCTTCCTCAGAATTGCTTCCCATGAACTCCAGGTGCATGGCTCTGGTAACCATGTAGATAAAAAAGGCAATGTACACTTTGTACACAAATTGGTTCTGGACTGTGATGGCACCAGAAAAATCAACGCCTGTAATTTGGAAGACATCTCCAGGTAACTTCTGACCTTGCTGCTTATCAGATATAGAATGTAAACCACCACTATTATACATATGGAGCATAGATGATGTTGCCATAAGAATTCAGATAAAATTTCTCATATAAGTGATATATTATTCATGAAGAATTAAATGATATTTAATTATATAAATGCGATGGCCGGGAGTTATGCCTATGCCTGCACAGAAAGAAAAGATTTAGATTGTGTTGTGCCAACTGCATGGACTAATTCCAAAAACTCATTTATTTGCAGGAAAATTCCTCAAAACCTAAATCATACTGAGCATGGGTCAAGTGTTGGGAAGATTGAAATTATTTGCATGCTTTGGATATGAATATTATAGGTGAAATGGTAGTAATTTCTCATTTACAGCCAGCACCTGTCTCTTATACACATCTAGATGTGTATAAGAGACAGCTACCACTAGCACTGGCATTGAGTGATGAAAGCGACTCAGACCTGAACCAGCCTATCACTCTCTATGAGTTGAACAAAGGTCTTGAACACCTTAAAAAAACTTCGCCTGGCTTGGACCAGGTTCACAATGAGCATCTATCCCACTTACCAACAGAATATCAGGCTTGGCTGCTGGCAGATTTTAACCATTGCTTTCTTGAAGCCACACTTCCAACAGCCTGGAAGACTTCCCTTATAGTGCCCATACCCAAACCTAATAAAATGCTAACCTCTGTTTCCTCCTTCAGGCCCATATCCCTGCTCTCATGCGTGGGAAAATTGCTTGAATGGATATTAAATAAACGTCTGAGTATCCTGTCTCTTATACACATCTAGATGTGTATAAGAGACAGATATACAGTAGTAGCACGTTTTCAGCTACCCCTAAGGTGAAGGCAAATGTTCTTGTTGCTGTTTCTAGGGTAAAATAAGAGATTTGGGACAATACCTACATTGGACTTTGCTAATAAGTTTGCAGCTCATAAATGGCTTTTCATGGCCTGGATATGGTATTCATGGCTTGAAGAAATGGAATCTTGGTATCAAAAATCCTGTTGAGGTTCAGAGTGTAGAGGTTTTTCTCATTAGCTGTGAACTGCAACTGGATTTTTCCCATGTAATTGCACTAAAAAGGATTTATGCTGATCTAGTAGTAGGTAATTATAACCATTTTTGCTGAATGGTGAGTTGAAAAATTTTGGGATTCAACAAATGTATTTACTAAAATCACTTGATTGCTTAAATCGCAATTTATCAAAAATTGTAGGTTTTCTAATTGATTCTGCTTTTCTTACCATCAAACGGGTTAATAAGGGATGGGCGGGGTAATAAGGGAGAGTCCTCCAACATTTTGTAGAAATGTGGTAGCAGCAAAATTAATCAAAATATTGCAAAACTAAAAGTAGTGGCGTAAAGGTCAACATTTTTACTATCTATGTAGCATAAAGCAAGTTAAGAAATCATACATTTACTACCTCTAAAAAATCCCTGAAAAAAAGTGTGAGAAGTGAGATTTCATAAAAGTACCTCTGCTAAGGTCTGTAGCAAAAACAATATTGGCCATATTGAAAAATTTTACTTCCATAAAAGTTGCACACAGGTGTTGGGTTAAAAATGTGGTAGATGAAATTTGCATAGCTCATCCCCAAAAAATGATAGCCATTTCTACACAACAAGGTAATAAGGAACACCCCTAAAAATGCATTTACAGTAGAACCTTGGTTAGCGAAGAATCCAGTTAGCAAAAAAATCAATTAAAAACAAAGAATTTTAATTACATTTACCTCGCTCATTGAAAAAAATTTCACTTGACAAAAAATTTATGCATCATCAGTCATCACAAAATAGTGCATAGAATGTCATAGATAGAATTGTGCATGGGACAACATAGAATGAAAAGTAATTAACCTAAATATAATTTTTTCTCAAAAAATATGATGGTTTGTCACTAAAATATTCCTTTCTGTTTCAGGTATGTTTTTACAATCTTTTTTTTTGCTATAGTGAATTCACTTGACATAATTAAAATGGTGCGAAATTATAAGCCGTCCTGTCATCTTAGCTACAGAAGAAATGCTACATGGCTGCTGATATGAAGCTTGCAGTGGACAAGGTCGTTGCCAATGCTCAATGGCATGTCCAAAGACTAGGTAATATCACATCAATAATGCAGTAATGTATGGATAAGGTAATATCATATCAGTAAAGGATACATTTTAGGTAAAAATTGATATGATAAGGTAATATCATATCAATAAATCACAGAAAATGACATTTATTCTCTATTTGCATCATCTACAAAGGAAGAGGAACACTTCAGAGTACTGTTAGTAATGGATCTGTACACTCTGGATGCTTCAAACGTTTTAAATTAAGTTTCATTTCAAGTGTCCCTTATTACCCTATTCCCAGCGTTAGTTTTATTTTGCATCTGGCACCTTACAAATAGTATATGGAAATTTTTCAGAGATGCCATACAATAGCCCTCGCAAATACCTTTAAATAAGCCCAAACTCGTTTATGAAATGTTTCATTGTAAGAAGCTATTAAGGAAAAACGCTCAAAAACGTCCCTTATTACCCCCGTTTGACAGTATAGATTTTGAACTGACAATGGAGCTAGACTTCAAGACCTTTCAATTCCTAGGAAGAAGTGAATTTTTTGGCTGTTTTTTTTTTTTTAATTTTAAAATCTTGACAAATTTATTAGAACCATGAAATTGAATAATCAAAATTTGTTTGAAATTATATAATGCTCATTCATCCTACAGTGATCATGTGCACAATCTGACCAGATAGTAGCTTTTTGGTCAGTTTTATTATGGATGAATTTCATAGGATTGGATTACATATGTAATCCATGTGATCACTGTATGGTTAATAGAAATTGATATCTACTATATTTCAAGCATACAATATTTGAATAGCAGAGGCAAATATTATAAACCTATATGCCATAAAAATGATGTGTTTTTAAAGCATCTAGTAAGAGTAAAGCATGATGGCTTAACAAATTGAAGATAAATTATTTAAATATGCAAATCAGAACTTGTTATAACTTTTGTGTTTACATTAAATTTTTTTCTAAAGCATAAATGGCTCTCCTGTTACTATAGTAAGCTGCCTGCTTTGCTATTTTGACATTCAGTCGATACAATTTGATTTGCGACTCTTTGCTTCCAGTATGGAACTTTATGCAAATTTTGTCACTGTGATTCAGCCATCATTTAATCATAATTTTAAAAATCCTGCAGCATTAGTGGGAATTTTTTTTACTGTTGCAGCATGTAGTGGAGTTTATTACAAGAGTAGGTATTGATTCTTCAGTCATCATACGTCTCCCACACAGGGTTTGGGGCTATGAATTAACATTTGCAAGCCAATATGATATATTTGACATTGTGGTTTGACCTGAGTTATGCCTTTGCTATTTGAACTGTCACCATTAAAGAGTTAAGCTACTTTATTCTTCTCCTGTGATAAAAATGAAATAATTCCTTCAGGACCAAATAATATCTTTTCTTTGTTATTGTAACTTTCTATTGTACGTAGCTCTTGCATGGGAAGTACTATGCAATGGTGATATATCTGTGACAGCATGACATCCCAATATGATAAAATTTGTGAATGCAATTTATACCTGACGCTTTAAATTTAATACTGTTTCTTATTTTCCTTAATAGATTTAGTAAATGAAGAGCAGAATCTTTGAATCACATTTATGTAAGAAGGCCAGTTGATGCTATGTATCTAAGGCATTTTCAACGCCATTTTCCACTGTTACCAGGAGCTCTAAGCAATAAACTTTGTGCAACTGTTGCACATTATTCTGGAGATGCTGCTGTGGAAGATCTTGTCTTGAGCCCAAGCTGTATTGAACGCTTACAAAGCCTGAACAGGAAAGCTGCAGCAGCAGACCAGGGAGGTGCAGCAGTGGATCAGGGTGGTGGTGTCAGCAATGCTCCACCACAGTTCCTCAGGATAGTGGTGGAAGGAGGTGGCTGTTCAGGCTTCCAATATAAGTTTAATTTGGAGGATAAGCTGCAACCTGATGACAGGCAAGGGAAACTACGTATTTAATGTAATTTTTGATTATTTGTATAAAAAGTAAAAGTGTTATTGAGAATGTGTCTATATATAAATATTTAGTTACATGGCTCTTTGATAACTGTGCAATATTGAATATTTTTTAAATGAACTCCTAAAATTCATATAATATTTGGTGCCTGTTGTATTGTGCGGTTTTATTCAGCCTGTTGCATCTTTGTTTGAAGCCTGGTTTTGGATTATATTTGAATTTGCATACATAATTTTTGTCAGGTTTTCTGTATGAGCAATGCATAAAAAATATTCAAAAACTGCAAACTGACATAGGTCAAAAATTTAAATTCAATATTATGTCACCAGCCAATCCCTGTTTTATCTGCTGCTCATCTTACACAACCTCCCCAGCAATTGTTAGCACTAGCCATTAGACTAAAATTCATTAAAAATCCCATTGACTAAAATCCAGTGCATCCATCATCCATTTGTTCAAGTGTGGTTCCTACTTCCCAGCTGAACTGCATCTTATTTATATGTTTTAACTGTGTCTACTACATTCAACTTTTCTTTTTAATAATGTTGCTTCCTACACAATTATTCTTCCTACATATAATTATTTATACTCATGAAAATATTTTATTTGCAGACGTTTTGGTCCCCCAGACGCCAGTGTGGTGACTGATGAAGTTTCACTGTCGTTCATCAAAGGAGCCACAGTTGAATATCATACGGAGCTCATACGGGCAGCCTTCCGTATTGTCAACAACCCTCAAAGCAAGGCAGGCTGCTCATGTGGTGCATCATTTGCCATCAAAATTTAGTAGAAATATTTTTTTTGTTGAACTATGAAAATCTTCCTAGTTTGCATCTAAATTCGTAAAACGGTTTACCATAAATTGTGCAAATATTAACAAATGGAATACAAATTTAGTAGACGTTTCACATTGACTTATGCAATTTTTCCTAGTTGCCATCAAAGCTTAGAACTTATTTAATACCAAATATTGTCAGAAAGTGTGTCACTATGTTGACAATATGACCCATTAATATTTATGATCACTATGTTGACAATATGACCCATTAATATTTATGATAGCACTTGTGACTGGTTGTGTCTGGATAGAATTGACGAATCTGTCCTGACGCCTCGTCAGTTGTTGTCTTGCCTTGTTCTTAGTTCTTGATGATTATTTATGAATTGCTGCATTTATCATGAATTATCATGAGCACTTCCAATGGTGCGTGCTCTTAAGTCACTATAATGGGGGCGCTTTGTATGGAGATGTACACTGTTCATAAAATTATGATATAAATTAGATAATGGCAATGTTAAGGCAACGTCTCTAGTACGCGGACGCGGTATATGTATAGCTGCATGCTTGCTGCTAATTGATCTGATCTCTTCCAATTATCATTACGATTGTCATGGTTGGATAAATGATTAGTTGGTGAGTAAAACTTATGTTCAATAACTAATTCATATAATGTTCACTAACTAATGCATATAAAAATGAAGCCGCAAAGTTTGAGCTAAATTATTACACGCTCAATATGTTAGAGTGTCAGTTGACATGTTCTCATAGGATATTTGTGAGTATTTTTATTATATAATCAGTACATTTGTCTCGGTACAGTCGCAATTTCTGTTCATTTGTTGGTTAAATGTTGTCAATTTATACTCATGCGCTTTTTCTGCTCTATTCGTTGAGAATCTTTAAATAAATGAATATGCTATATTAGCCACATGAATATGCTAAATATTAGATAAATAAATATGATATGTATTAGCCAAATAAATATGCTATATAATAGCCAAATGAATATGCTATATATTAGCCAAATTCCGGGAAATTTTTCACAGTGAAACACAGGCAATGAAACCTGCCCCCATTCACTGCATGCTTAGTTAGTTTCATTGTTGGATTATCTTGCAGTTGAATATTGTTACTATGTTTATATGAGCCTGCTGAAAGGGCAGCGTATGAACTGTATTATACAGTTCTGTATTGTATAAATGTATTCCCAAAACTTCATGCTGCTGTGAGAAATGTATAATTGTTAATGCGTGTATATTGAATAAATCTATCTGAAATATTTGTATTGTCATATCATTTGTTGCATTAAGAATATTACAATGTTAGCCCCTGAGAATGTTGCCAAGTTTGTTATGAAACTGCTTAGACTCTGCAGAACGTAATCATCATAATGTAAACAAGTCAACCTAAATGTTTTGAAGATTGTGCATATTTGCGGTCATGTCAGACTGCATTAACATGTGTTCAGCTTACAGAAAGGACAAATATTATAGTTGCCATTTGACTGTTTTAGGGTAACATTAGAGATTTGGGATAACACATGCATGGACTGTGTAAATAAATTTGCGCCTCTAAAATGGCTTTTCATGGATGAGATATGGAATTCACAGCTCAAAAAAATAAAAAAAATGTAATCACGGCTGAAAGAAATGGAATCACGGCTGGCCAATCCATAAAACCATGGCTCGAAAAATTCAGCCACGGCTCACCAAGTAGATATATTCCATGCCTGGCTGGAAAGGGATATCATCAACAGAAATGTATGCAGTGGATTAAAAGTCAAAAGTTCCTGGTGTTTCCAAGCTTTCAGGTTCTGCTTTTCAAACTAGCAAGTCCTGATTTCCAATAAGCTATGTCTACCGGTTAATTTAATACCTCTCTAGAATTCCACAATGTTGACATGTGGAGAAATCCAGAGGCTGTGACCCTGGCTCTGCCTGAAGTCCCGCAGACTGGAGTGTACCGCTGCCCAACTTGAAATTGGATATGCCAGTGTCAGGAGCCACCTGCACAGATTCAACATGGGTAACTGATCAATTTATTGTATTTCACACAAACACAGTCAGCAGTGTGGAATTCTGTATAGGTAATATAATCCCATGTTCATTTAAGAAAATGGATCATGTACCATGATAGATTGTAAGTACCATGGACTCACAAATTAGCAAAAAGTGCCTCGCTTTCGATGAAGCTCGTCGCTACGTACACAAAGTAAGAAATTATGAACTATATGACATGAACAGATGAGCCGTGCGTCAGTTCAGAACCATTTTGTCGTATTGCTTCTTGTTTGTGTAAGATATATCTTTCAACTAATTTTGAAGTGAGGACTTATTTCTTACATTAAGGGTATGTCTAGTAAAGTTGAATAAAATTAGGTTTTGAGTTTGAAAAGTCAGATGTTTTCACGTTAGTTCAGTTTAAAAATGCATCATTCTTAAGACAAGATGCATTCCATAAAGAATCTGGGTTATGTTATTGCAACAACAATGAAAGCCATGGTTGAACTAGTATAAGATTGACCCATGTGAAGCTCATTTTTGCGGATGTAGTTCAATGTTCGTCTGTGACATCGCTGATCTCAGTGACGTCACGGGCATTAATCAATCACCGAAATACGATCAAACCAGTCAACCAATAGGTGTCTGTACACAGGGATAGTACCAGCCGCTAGTTCATCCGCCGCTTGAACTGTCCACGCTACTAGCCTCGTGTATAGGGGTTCAGCCGCTTCAGAGGCTGTCTCTTATACACATCTAGATGTGTATAAGAGACAGGTACGGTACAATTTGGGAACGACAACAAACATAAGATATCTAATTAATCACTTAATAATCCACAATTCTTTCTCTGAACCTTTCTTATTATTATATGTACATACAAAGGAATTTAAAGAAATATCAGGCAGCTATGAATCTCAACTATGTCAACCAGCCTCCATTCAATGAGATGGCTGCTTTAGGTCAGGTAACAGTAGCCATCGCCCATCAGGCATTAAGCCTGTCATGTCCAGCCAGCCATACTGCTTCCTTCCTACCTGACCTTTAAGAACTTCTTCAATTTTAAAATGATTTGTATCTACAAATTTATCTGATGTTGTTTGTTAGTATCACTTACTTTCCCAAATATCTTTTTTATTTATTAAAATGGGCGAGTAAGCAATTTTTTACAATTGCAATACAACATAAAGGTAGTCAATGGAATTCTGTTGTGGGAGCTTAAAATCCATGTAACTTAACAAATTTTTTTCCCGCAAATGTCTGGAGAAATGGGGAATGTACCCAGGTGTGCCTTTATACATAGCAAAACATGACAGCATTGGTGCTGCTGAGCATTGCATTATTTTATTGGCATTATTGCCTGTGACATGGCGCCCTNGCTGATCTAGTTCATCCGCCGCTTGAACTGTCCACCCTACTAGCCTCGTGTATAGGGGTTCAGCCGCTTCAGAGGCATGCGCCGGCATGTGCCCGATACGCGGCCGAGAGGGTCAACGATGTGTTGTTTTCTGCGCTGGAGAAGTGACTAGCAGCGCTGATTCAGCCATGGTGAGAGCATCTGTGCCGCTCGTGTGAATCATCTTGGATCCAGTAAGTCATGGCGTGTTCGAACGAGAATAGTTCTAAGAAGAACCCACCAAAGTGGAGTTCGGAGGATATTCGATTGTTTTTTGAGATATTCAAAAAGTATGAATTATTGTGGAATGCTTGCCATGCTGGTTACTTCAACAAAATGAAGAGCGAAACGAGTATTTTTGAACTGAAAGAAGACTTTATTAGTCAGGATTTAGTTGTTCCCGACGTTACATTTTTATGGGCTAGAATAAAGAGTATAAAACAACGTACAGACTAGAGTTGTTGAAGGTGATCCTACTATCCATCTCCACAGACTTCACTCCACAGCTTCTAACGACGCACTGGCGGGCGCGAGCGAGAAGATAGCGGCACCTTATACACTCCTTGTGTACAGGCTTACTTGCCTGATAGCCACCAAGCGACCGACACTTGCCAGATCTACTAGCCGTCTGCAATATCCAGGTGTACAAGCAACTAATCCGTCATGGGTTTGTTTACGTTTCTCGATCTCAGTGACGTAACAAGAAAGCTGAACTGAAAGACGGAAATCATAGCGGGCCAACCTTATATAGTTCAACCATGAATCAAACCAACACATCGACGAAACAAAATCTTAACAATTATATTCGCACCGACAGATCTTGGAGCAACGTCGAATTAAGTAGATTCATTTTGACGTAAAGTTTTGGTCAGAGCACAGTTGAGAGCTCATGCACTCTAGGATTAGAATGAAACATTGCTCTTGTCACAAATGGTTTCCTCCTGTAAAATTTTTTAAAGATAAATATCTTTCAATTACGACTATACATATTTCTTTATTTTTATGATGTGTTTTCCATGACACGGCCCGGACAAATTTACGGCCGGTTTTCAAATTCAAAGATCAAAGAATATCTCCCAAACTGACGAACGTAGCTCGATGAAACTTGGCACACGTGTTCATTAGGATTCAACGATGATGTTTAGCTCGTGTAATTCTACGAATTTTGCCTTCATTTGCGCGTTTTATGGCAGTAGGTGCCCAAATTCGCAGTGATCAAGGAATTTCTTTCAAACTACTGAACAGATTTGAACTAAATTTTGAACATACATTCATAACTACCACACGGCGATGTTTAGCTCCATAAAATTTGTTTATTTTGCCTTCGTTTGCGAGTTATACAGATATACGGAGAAACAACCGGTATTTTTGAGGCCGGATTTTAAATTTGTACCGTATACGTATAGCCATATAACTCGCAAACGAAGGTAAAATCGAAAAAAATTGTCACGAACTTAACGAGATAACATTCACAGGAATAGAGTGATCTGCTTTCAAATTGGGAGGTTGGGTATTTATATACGAAGTTTCGTTTGTATATGTTCAGTAGCTTATATGAAATTTCTTGATCACTTCGAATTTAAGCACGTATTGCAGTTTAAAACACAAATGTAGGTCAAATGAAAAACAATTCGCAAACGAAGGCAAAATAGGAGAATTTTTCACGAGCTAAACATCACCGTTTAGTAGTTACGAATGTATATTATAAATATCACTAAAATCTGTTCAGTAGTTCGGGAGAAATTTCTTGATCACTGCGAATTTCGGCCATTACCGACCGAATCGACACTTCAGCGAACTCGCCTGCGAGCTCGAATGCAAAACCTAACTTCATTTTCAACTCTGGCACTCATAAATCCGTAAATTATGAACGGATTTCATTCAAATTTGAAATATAAGTAGATAATATCAGTAATTTGTGGGGGGAATTTTTTCAGATTTTTACATCAATAACTTTTTTGTTAATACGGAAAACCTAACTTCATTTTCAACTCTGGCACTCATAAATCCGTCGCCATGCCATTACCGCCATATAACTCACAAATGAAGGCAAAATTTAGCAAATTTCACGAGCCTTACATCACCGTTAGATCCTAATCAACACGTGTACCAAGTTTAGCTGCGTTAATTAGTTTAGGAGTTATTTTCTGATCATTGAATTTGAAGACTGGCCGTAAAATTGTCCGAGACGTTTGAATTTGCGAACGTTTCAAAAGTTCATTTTGTTATGAAATTTAAAAGAAGGCATGTGCAAGACAAATGTAAACGTACCTAGGTAGCCTGCACATACGTCTGGTGGTAATATTAAAATAAAATAGAATTTCAGAATTCGAAAAGATCAACACTGTTTTTTCAAATAATAATCTAGAGTTTCCCCACATTCAAACTGCAACACTAGTTCCGCTACCCCGATATACGAGATCGTACTCTTTCGTTAGGTGGCATCAGATTTCCTTGTTTAATTTATTAGTACAGAATTTACAAGGTGAGAATCTAATAATAAGATTGATTCTGTTTAAAATCCTCATTGTGTTGTTGATTTGCAATAACAAATAGATGTCTTCTATTGACTCGTATCAAATGAGATCTGAGAATCAGAATAGGATTAATCGTTTGAAACAAATCATGAAATGATTGTTGAGACTTGAGTTGAGGAGCCCTCTAGCAAGAGGCAATCCTTTGTTCCCATGCAGGGTCTGCCATGTGGCGTCTGTGTGAGTAAAATCCGATTTGTAAAAAATATTCCTACACATTAGCAACTGGACCAGAATATGGAAGGCCTCTGTTGCTTGCTCTCAGAATGGACTTGTTTGAGCAACGTTGTGGTCCTGTTTATTTAATTAATCAGTGTGGAATTCTAGGGATGGAACTTTGCTCATAAAAAAGCTTTCCACCTAAGGTTGAAAACGTTCCATAGATACAGCACTCTGCCATACCTGCCATACGATGCCAAGTGACTGATAATAGGGGAAAAGGGGCTTTTTAAGGGGGATTACCATGGATAAACTTTTAATTGTGTAGTAACTCAGTCCTCAGATGTGCTATAGAATAGACTAAGTATAGTCTATATATAGAATTGTTTAGTTGTCTCAGGTTTGATTTTTTTTTTCTTTTATTTAATGGATATTTTGATTAGATTTTTTCAGGCCCTTTGTTTGAATTGTCAACTGATTAAGTTTAGGTTAAGTAGCTATGAAGTTAAATTAGTTCATAAGTTAACCAGTGCTGCAGTGCTCATATGGACCATTATACAGGGTGAAATTCTAAAATTAGTGGTTCACTTGAAAAAAGCACTCTGCCTTAAAAAAAAATGTTGCAGGCAACTAGAAACTGGTTTGTAGGCTGTCAGAAATCAGCCTTGGCAATTGGCATGAACGTTACGTCAGGCAACATAGTGAAGGTCTCATGATTGTCAATTGTGCAGGTCACTCCTGGATAAGCAAGAAGGATCTACAAAAGGAAATACTATTTACTCTTAACATAGTGGTTTCAAATTGAATATGAAAAACATTTATAGCACCTATTCTTTACCAGGGTTGGCAATGATTAAATCAAAATGATTAAATCACTTGATTTTTTATAAAAAAATCATGATTTTTTTTATTTTTTCAATTTTTTATTTTATTTTTTATTTTTTCATATATTTAAAAATATTGAGTGGCAGTCTTTAATTTATATTGAGGTATTGTTATTCATGGTTTAGTATAAATGTACTATGAATGACAAATTGGTATATNTCAATGTTTAGGAGATCTGCATTCCTGAAGTGTTTTTGTATATTGAAGCCAGTTAAATGGTCAATATTTAGCTCATAACCTTGCTCCATACAAACTTTACAAAGCTAATGAATAGACTGATCAATAATTGTTTACCAAAAATCCCAAAATGGTAAACACCACCTTGGCCTGTTGGCCATTATTGAAGGCAATAAGTGCCCTTCTTAGCCATCCATTATGATCCATATACTGTTATTGTTAGTAGGCTAATTACAACATAAAAAATAACACCTCAAAAAAGACAAAAAAGCTGAAAAAATACAAAAAATCAAATAAATAAAAAAAATCATGAAAAATAAAAAAAAAATAATTGATTTTTGATTTTTTTGATTAAAAAAAAAATAAAAAAAAATTGCCAACCCTGTTCTTTACATCAGCTTTCAGATTGAGGATAAACTCATAGGCAATTGGAGAAACTTCTCGAAGAAAAGGCAATGCACAACATGACACTTGACTAATTAGAATACCTAGAGTACTGTACTTGACAATTTAGCATTCAAACCTTCAGATTCTGTGAACCTTGTGATTTCATCATTCTTAAAACTTCAGAAGGCTCATAAGATATCACGTTAAGTTTTCACTCAATTATCGTCTAAGTTTGGGAGCTTTATCTGCAGTTAGGCATCCACAGGCCAAGTGATCCACCGCTCAGAGTTGTATGAGGGTCATGAAAAAGGGGCATGCAAAAGAAGAGAGACAGTGTGAGGAGAGATTTTGCACTCTCCCATCCCACACAAATCTCTCAATCCGCGTCCTTTTTCTAGCATCAAAATCGGTCTTATGCACCCTAATGCGCTGTAGCTAGCTACTTCACCCACTGATTGCGTAACAAGAGCTAACAAGTAAACACTAACCATCATTTGATTCCCGCCTCCTTGGCTGTTGCACACAATTGATTCTGCATGTATAACATTTACAAAGGTTATTTAAACCATTCTGTTAGATTTCAGTTACCTACTGATAAATTTGTAATGTAGAATAGAAAAGAAGTGAGTGTTGGCACTGAAGAAATAGGCCCATGGCCTGTTGCGGAGCCTGTTGCCAAATTTGGAAGAATTCGTATCTATCATTTTTTCACATGAGTATATTGATGGTTGATATCCCTGCTACCTTCTTTGTTATTGTCTTTCATACGATTGGTATTCCTGATTGCAACGGAAGGAGTTCCCATGTCTCAGCTTATTGCATCAGTGGTCAGTTTTGTATTTGTGGAGTGAATCGTAGGTAGTTTTTCATGTATTTGCAGGGTTGGTGATTTTTTTGATTTTTTTTAAAAATCAAAAAAATAAAAATTCAATGATTTTTTTATTTTTTCATGATTTTTTTTTATTTATTTGATTTATTTTTATTTTTTCAACTTTTTTGTCTTTTTGAAGTGTTTTTTTATGTTGTAATTAGCCTACTAACAATAACAAGATGTGTATAAGAGACAGTACATGAACGATGTAAACATATGCGACCTGAAATTTGATTCAAGATTGGGTTAGGATGATAGTTTGATTTTACCCGTCTTTGATTCACATGACTTGTTTGAAAATTTACGTGATGTAAAGGCAGGAATGTTTTCATGTTACAACAGGAAAGAGGAATGTTTTCATTTGATAAAACCCTAAATAAATAGGTAAAGCTGTCACAATATCTGCTTGAAATGCTTTAATATCNTTATAAGCTAGCTAACACGTTTAAATTGTATATTGTAATCAATATATAATGAATAGTCAAATAAAGTCTACTTATAGCATTATAAGAATTAGCTAAGCTGCTAGCTACGTACAATGTATTGCGCACTTGAGTTGTTTCCGCTGTACCAAAAACATTCAATTTATTGGAGCCTAATACACACTAAAGGCAACAAGTTTATATAACAATTTATCATTCATAGTACACTTATACTAAACCATTAATAACAATACCTCAATATAAATTAAAGCCTGCCACTCAATATATTTCAATATATGAAAAAATCAAATAAATCAAAAAAATCGATAAAAAATAAAAAAAAAATAATGATTTATAAAAAAATCAAGTGATTTAATCACATGATTTAATCATTGCCAACCCTGTGTATTTGTAAGTGAATGTACATAGTGAAGATGTTATTCTTTGAGATTTGCATCAATAGTGACATAACTACATTATTGTATTACACACTTGAAATAAGAAGTGTAGCATTACACATAAAATTATCATCTGTGCATTAACATTGTGTGCATTTGGGGCGGTCCATTCTAGCTTTCTAACACTGATTGGATTCCAGTGGCTGTGACATTGCACACGTTCTGATGCTAATTGGATTCTTGTGACTTAGATGTTGCATACGTTCTAGCGGTAATTGGATTCATGTGACTGTGACATTGGACGCCTTCAACCATTGATTGAATCCATGTTACTGTGATGATGTAAGCTCAGTTTTTTTGCATTGGACGGCTGTGGCAGCTTGCAGAGATTTGTTAGTGATGATGATGGACTGAAAGTGGAGGAATGCTGGCCTTTCCAGATTTTTAGGTCATGCTTTCCATTTTGCTATGTTTACCAGTCAATATATTAACCCTCTGGAATTCCACACTTCGGATCACTGATACCATATATGGGCACAACTAATCACTGCTGGAAAGGGGTGACATCACAATCCCACCAACCAATCACAGCTGGAAATGGCAGGAAAAGTCTTATTTTTTCTGAAATTTTGTAGCTCTAATATATAATTTCAGTAGGTATGAAATCTCACGGCACAAATGTCATAAATTTTTGTTTGATTAAAAAAATTGCTGATCACACTTTGCAAACATGTCATTTCATAAAAATTTTTTCTTCTGCAATACGCATTACTTTACTGTTCCTGCCAAAATATTCTGCAGAACGTAATCATCATAATGTAAACAAGTCAACATAAATGTTTTGAAGATTGTTTGTTTTGAAGATAAATGTTTTGAAGATGAAGAGAGGCTGTGACCCTGGCTCTGCCTGAAGTCCAGCAGACTGGAGTGTACCGCTGCCCAACTTGAAATTGGATATGCCAGTGTCAGGAGCCACCTGCACAGATTCAACATGGATGACTGATCAATTTATTGTATTTCACACAAACACAGTCAGCAGTGTGGAATTCTGTATAGGTAATATAATCCCATGTTCATTTAAGAAAATGGATCAAAAAGCCTACCACATTACACCTTTCACCACTGACAGTTGATACACTGAGCTAAACAGAAACTGCCATGGTTCAGATCTGATACAGGGTTGGCAACGCCTTAATTATATTCACTAGTTGTTTATCCATAGCTGACTAATTTTTGTAATGAATATGTGCTAAAATTACAAAAAATTATATCAACTTTTGCAAAAAGTTGATATCAACTTTTGCAAAAAGTTGATATACCAACCAAAAGCAGTTCTCCAAGAGAACTCCAATGCCAAAAAGTAGTTCTACAAGAGGCCAATGTAGTCCATAAATTTTGCTTCAAAGTAGGTTGTAGAATTCTCCATCATTTGGACTACATTGGAGTAATAGGACTAATACTTGTGACATTGAGACGGTCTCACCAGGAGGGCAGAGAAAGCCACTGAGACAATCACACAAGACCATCACTTGCACCATGCTGAAGAAACCTACCAGCATCATGCAGAGGTCATTGAGAGGTGTACAACTTTAACCAACCAAAAATTGCTGCAACTTTCATTGCTTTGAATTGGACCTTGGCTATCTATTCCTGAACTACTGGATTTGTCTAAACTTTCAGATTGCATGCTGAGTGGCCTTCTGGCTTGAAATTTTTGTGTTGAATCCTATTTAAGTGTGTTATGTATTTATGTCCAAGAAAGTTTTATTATTCAATGCTTCTCTTAACTTGAAAATGAATGTTGTTACATATGCAAGTTCAATAATATATTAGTATTACTTGCTAAACCAGCCATTTGATCTACCAATGTCATTTAAATAATAGTTTGACTCCTTGAAAATTGTAATGCATTCTCTGGCCATTAATTGTACACACGTGTGTATGAGTGTGCATAATCTATGTTATCTTACTTAAGGGTCCACCTAATTTAACTGTTGAGTCTTATGCTGAGTTCTGATGAGCAATGGCCCTTGCTTTTTTACATTTGTTCATGTCATGTGCAACTTTTCTGTTACATGCTGTCATGCTCAACCAATGTGTCCACAAACCTTTTATTAATGGAAATAAAGTGATCTGCTTTCCAAGCACAGAAGTCCAAAACAACACAAGCTATCAGGCCAAATGGTCATCCTTGCTGTTGTACTGGGGCTTCAAGTCCACCCAGTGTGGACACCTTGAAAAGAAAGAAGAAAGATGGATATAAGGCAGTAGGATTGGTCATTACTCTGATAATCTTGTCCGTAATTACTTTGATATTCTTAACTAGGGGCTACTTGGACCAGATTCTAGTGCTCCTATGAGTGCAAAGAAGTAGATAATTTTATCTTTTGAAAATCACTACCGGCAAGTTACAGTCATGATTAAATTTGCACTTGTGTCAGCCATAACCACAGTAACTCGTATTTGAGTTATCTTGGATTCTAGGAGGTGGTTTCAAGGCTCAGCTGCCCAGCCTTACTCAGTTTCAGTGACTGAGTGAGGGGTTGTGGCCTGAGGGCTCTCTGAGTCTAAGAGGCTGAGGCTGCTGAGTGCATTCCTGGGTCTCAGTTGGCTCAGGTACTCGAGGTTTTTGACAGTCAAGTTATGCACACATATGGGTCTTTCATAAGTCTAAAAGATTTACAATCTTGTATTATGTAAAAAAACACTATGTAAATATTTTGGGAGCAGACAAATTAGCTAGAGTATGATACCAAACCTTAGAATTTCAAATTTTTATGAATATGCAGATCTTGCAAGTCATAAAATAAAAATGTAAAATTCTATGTATAACATAGGAATTCTTTACAGGGTTGGCAATGATTAAATCAAAATGATTAAATCACTTGATTTTTTTATAAAAAAGTCATGATTTATTTTTTTATTTTTTTTTATTTTTTCATATGTTTAAATATATTGAGTGGCAGTCTTTAATTTATATTGATGTATTGTTATTCATGGTTTAGTATAAATGTACTATNTTTACAGCAGAAATTTCATCAGTCATAACTGTGACATAGGCATGATGGTGGGTGGAGAAATACAAGGTTTTCAATAGTTTAACTACTAGCAGGACCCGTCCATTAACTGATGTAATTATGGCAATTTTGCCATAAACATGATCCATATCATTGGCAGAGATTAGTACAGATTGGTCAGTAGAATAACTTATGCCATTAACATGGGCTTTTAAGCAGAAAGAGAAAGTACTACAATCACTTGAAATGTGGGAATTTACATAGTTTTGTAGCTCTAAAGGAACTTTTTCAGTTTTTACTATCTTTTGAAATTTGGCCCTGTCATCAGGAAGGAAGTTGTCTGCCTTGTGATGCAAGCTTTGCATCAATTGGTGCTTCATTGCCATAGTTTGGCAAGGACTTTTGAAATTTTTGGTTCTTCTCATGATATTTTTGAAGTAGCTATGCTTCCGTTCAAAAGGCAATGTGCTGTGGTGAATAAGTGGTCCAAATGAACTATATTGTTTTGCATAGTGCAGTAGGTAGTGCGCTTTTGGCTTGACACTTAAGAATTGATACATGGCATAATATCTGTCTCTTATACACATCTAGATGTGTATAAGAGACAGACTCTACACTCATCGGGGATCATTTAGATGACAATAAATTTTTTTGGGGAATTTTTATTTCGTACAAAAAAAATTTTTACGAGCCAAATTTTACTCATTTTTAATTAAATGCACGATCATGAATTCTTTATTCACATTTATTATGTAGAAAACAACCATCAACTTAGCATTTGTATGGGGGTGTGCTTTGTTTATTGAACAAGATCTATTTAAATATATTCTGATCCTTATTTTAAAAAATTTTTAAATATATTTTAGTCCAACGCAATATGATTTAAGTTGTTACATCAGTATGTGTATTTAGCGTATTTGGAAAGCCCGTTCCTCAGGATGAGTTGTATGTATCATTTGACATTTAAAAAATTAGGAAATTTAGCTTAATCAATCATAATGCAGAAATATGATTGTAGGAATTTATTTTGTGAAAACATCTTATTATTTATTTTCATATCCTTCAGTTTCTTGAACATGATTCGTTTCAGTATTTTATCTTTAGTAAGTAGCTTCAGTGTCTTCATGTTAGCAATGATCGTAGGTCCAATTTTTGAGTGGGCAAAAATGATTGTACATGTAAAAACTTTCAATGGTTTTATCTTGATGGTACTAAGGCCTATAGGCTATATATCTGAAAATTTTATTGTGGGGTTCAAACAATTGAATTAAATTCAGCATCACATAGAACCAATTTTGCAAGTTTATACTTATTATAGGGGAGCGTCGATTTTTTTCTGCTTTTGAAATCGAAAATTTTGCCTCTTCAGTGTTTCAGGCTTATTTTGTAACTGCTGAGAAGGCGCGTCTAACGCAGCAAACCGCATGTCTGTGCGCACTCTAGTTTTCGCATCAAACAAATTTAAAAATTATGAAATGAGCATCTTTTAACAACATGTATATATATGTATTCAAATTAAATCTGTACTGATAGATCATTATTGTCATTAAGTGCAAAGTGTTTGCACTCATTTGAAAGCTACAAACAACACGCTTTCAACAAAGTTAATACCATGGATGTACATGCAATAATTTTTGTGTAAGGCCGTTTTGAACTTACATGAAATGAACATTTTTTAAATAAATATAAATATCACAAACATCACATTTATAGCTTATTATTCACGTTAAACTGGACAAGAATAAGTCTAAAGACGTGTGCTGGTATCCTAAGTGCAACTAATTGGGAATGGGGAAAGTGTGGGCTAAAATATCAAGCAATTCTTGGCATATTATTCTCTTTTTCAATAAATTTTACTTATTTGGCTCCCCTGAACAATTAAAATTTCCAAAATGCGCCATTTAAAAATCTATCTCCTCCAATGATTTTCAAGCTGCATCATTGAGAGATATACCATTCAATTTGTAAAATATGAACGTTAGGAGAATGGTTTTAGTGTTTTTGCAATTTTGTTGTAGTTTGGATTATATTTTGCAGAAAGGGGGAAGGGGGACAATTTTGTCATTTTTTGTCAAAAATTGACAAAAAATCACCCTCCCACCACAATGAGAATTTCTAAAATTGCTACGACCAATCGCCAGATATGTTCTTTATGCATTGAATGATATGTGTCTCGATGTTGTAGCTTGAAAATCCTAGGAGGAGATTGATTTTTCTACAGTGCCCCCGCTCTGCCGTTTTTATGAAATTCACGTTTTCTTTCATTTTATTCCGAAAAATTCACATTAACAATAAAGTTTTTTATTTCTGTTTTACACCTGTGTAAAAAGTTTCACACTGGTAAATTATCTTCATTCCCTCGGTAGAACAAACAATCATAGATTTTTCACGTCTATCGTTTTGTTCAATGTGATTTTGTTTCACTATTTTATAGTGAAGTTCGCTCACGGATCAAACACGATCCTAAGTCCAGTGTTTCAGTTGCCAATAATGAATTATTCCTATCATAGATATACAGGGTCATCAATATTTAGCGTTACATTGCTTACATGTTGCTGGAAACTACTTCTTTGTGGCACTAGAATCTCGTTTAATTTTCTAGTAAAATTATGTAGTCTTTTATTTAATTGTGGAAATTTGGGGTTACAATTCACCAGATTCAGAAGTACCTAACTACTGATTATTATTCCTTTATAGAATAATGTATGGAATATGTTTCATTATTGAACCCCCAACATGTCTCTCAACAGGGAACATGGGTAATTGTTTCTCCGGCTCCGCTACTCGTTCCGGCACTGAAGAAGAAGAAGAAAGCCACGGACAAGATGAAACAAGAGATGGACAAAAATTCGAGTGTGAAACATGCAAAGCAGTCTTTACTAGGAGGTAAGAATACAGTTAAACTTTCGCATGTTGGAAATTGTCTTTTATTTTGTGCAGTTAAAAGTTACAGATTATTAACAATTTACAGTTACAAGTTTTTTCTTCATGTGCAGGGCTGACTTGAAGAGGCATCAAGTTACACACTCGATTGACAGACCATTCGTGTGCGACAACTGTTTGGCTTGCTATAAGCGCAAGGATCATCTGTACAGGCATGACAGAAGGTGGCACCATCCAAAGACAGCAACAGCGACCACACAAACCGAGACCCAAACCGAGGACAGCTCCAGCGAGGAGTAGAAGATCTAGGTATTGTGATCATTCCGCCCCATAAATTGGTCAACAGATATTATAAATATTCATTTTCTTCAATCAAAGTACTGTATGGTGGCAATGTTGATATAAATCGTCCCTGGATGTTTACTCATTGATTAAATATATTGATCCGATGTTACATATATCACAATCTCTTCGTAGACATTTTAATTTGTCACAACTTTATTTTGTTTTTTATTTATGTAGCTTTTCAAATGTTCCTCTTACTATGGAGTATTCCGTATGTATTCTATTTCTCAATATTGATCTATTGTGATAGTAGAAACAATATTTGGTATTGGACATTTAAAAGAATAAATAAGGATTTACATTGAATTACTTTTCGTTGCAACTCCACGTTGGCATATTCAAATGGTATCTTGTGCCTTGGTGCGAAGGAGACTTTCTCACGTTTTGGAACATAAAAAGGTTCCAAAGCATTTAGGTTAATTTCTTGTTCTAATCATAATACTGAAAATGTATATTATTTCATAAGTTTGAGTACTTTGAGAAATCATAAAGGTCCGGTCATTGTACAACTTTTGTTAAAGATGTATTCTTATTTTTCCGACGTGATTCCGCCTCAAGCTTCATTGCTTGTTTTTTTAGGTTTTGATATTTTGTAGCTTTTAAGATTAGATTTAAATATGGAGTCAAATTATTTTTGTGACTTGGATTGTTTATTGGTGTTCACTACATCCATTCCGTACTGCTGGTGCTCGCTTTCTATGCGATTATATTTTTTTGTATTGTATTTCTATTGTTTTTTGAACAACGACGTTAACAATATTCACCTCAAATTTAGAATCCTTTTTTTATTTTTCTCATTGAATGAAATTTTTAGTCCCTTTTCAGAATCACCGATTTGATGCGGAAGAAAAAATATATATTGAAGTGTAAGAATGTTGGTAATTTTTTCTATGGTTGGGAAAGAGTATAAAAACATTACTTGAAAGACATCAAGCTCTCGAGTACCTGAATTTTGTGCCTGTAAACTTCGTGTAGTAAAAGATATCTTAGATAAGTAGGTATGTTTACAGTGTATTACCGATATAACTTCTCGTTTTTGATACCGTGAATGCCAGTTAAATGGGGGCCTTTTGTATGATTTGACTAATTTGCCGTATTAAAGCATACTTTGACACCGTCCTTGTTTATTCCACTCATCAATTGCTTTTTTCTGGAATGAAATCGGCCAAATGGTCGGTGGTCTGCCACTGATGCATAGAAGGCTGCATGTGCAGGTATATGCTGAGCCTGCCGTGGGTCTAGGACAATTAGGCAAGTAATTTGCGGCAAATTTATCTTTTTTTTACTTATTGTAGGCCCATACGTTCAGTGGTGATAAGAAATCAGAATTGAGACGGCTTAGGACGACATAAAAAAGTATTTATTCTTGTTGAGCAATGCTTCTTCAATCAACATGAGAGCCCAGAAAATATGAAGCTGACAGCATGCCGTTTCTTATGATGATTAATGCATGATAACGTAGGCAGCACCTGCGTACTAATTAGAGTAGTCTGGATTCTACGTGCGAATACACAAGGGATATCGTAAAATCATTCTACGTTTGTAGTAATTCTAGTCTATCAGAGTGTGCAAGTTTAGTAGAAATATTCATTCAGAAATAAGAGTTGTAGTATTGCGAATGGCATCAGATCTTCATGCCATTATTATGCATGCCATCTGAAGACCTTCAGTTTTAGGCCCTGACTACAGCCATGCTGAAGTACCACCCTCGAAGGCTACTAAATACCGCCCACTAGCGACACCTCTCCTCAGCTCTCGCAGTGACCCGTCCTTCCATGAGGTGACGAGCTGTTGCCGAAGTCTTAAGATCGTTCCACTTCCCAAGGCTGCCACCTTTGACGAGACGCACGATGAAAGTCCCCCTCCATAATGCAGATGTGGACAAAAAGTTAAGATGTAGCGTCGTTGCCAGTCGTAAGGAATCTGACTGGTGTGCTGTATCTCAATCTGACTAGAGGTTGGAGTTAGCTTCAGTCTTCAAATGTGGATTTGAAGAAATTAGGATGGTTAACCTCATGTTTGCAAGAAATGTTGGGAACTGTAGCCGGTCAAATAAAATCCCAGATCAACTCAAACCCAAAGAACAGTTTAGCAACTGGAATTATCTTAAGAAAGATAATAATATTGTTGCATTTCCAGCGAGTGATTTACATTTTTCGTTTAATTTGCGAAAAAAAGGTAAAGGTTATCATAACACAGTAAAAATGCTTCGACTAAGCTCTTAAATTAAGGACGCTAGTATTTTCGGAACATGCAACTGAAAAATGGCGCGAGTTTGCTCCCTGAGCAGGCATGCTCTCTTCGAGGTCTCGGCGGCTACGTCGCTGCGGCGTTTGATCCTCTGCTGACATGCTTGTCCCATGGTACGCATGCTTATAGCAACGGTATCAACGCGCTCGAATGCCGCTGCAGCAATTCTTTCGTTTTTATTTTTTTTTTTCACTACCGCTCCTGTTACTTCTTCCTAAGAATTAAGCCGTGCGCTTTGCACGCGGGCTAACGGGTAACAGAGGGGTTTCGTGAATTGATCTTAGATCAACACTAGATCGTCTACGGGATTGGGCGACGTGTCACGGGCTTGTATCTATCTTTCATACTAGAAGCCTGAGTAATTAGATTTGAAAAAATTCGGAATACAAATCCATTAGCGGATTTCTGGCCGCTTCAGTCTATCGGCAGATGACGAGAGACAGCTAGGAATTTCGGGTTCACAAGGATATCCAAATGATCGGCTCTCTGAAGGCGAGGCACTACATTCACCGAAACAAGGTCATAGTCACGCAACAGCTGCTGAGCAGTTATTGGTTCTGAAGCATCAAGGAAATCACGGGAGAGCCTCCTCAAAAGTAATGGGCTTACGATTCACCAAATGAACGATTTGACAAACGAGAAATTAAAAATCTTGGTAAAACCGCATGCGTCTGTGAATTGAACCAGTTATCAAACGTTTAGTCAATTTAACACACGATTCCACCATGGAGCCCTGCTTGCTGCATCCCTTATAGAACTGATCGAAATCAATGGATTTCAAGCCATGTCTCTGAAGATAAGACTTGGTTTCCTGATATTTGAGGAAATCCAGAATGATGTTCGAGACAGCAACGCCGTGATAGCCTGGATCCGAAGTACTATATTCTGGCAAACCTAATTCAAAGCAATGCAATTGAAATAATCTAAGGAATTCAACAACCGATAAATCCATAGAAATTTTTAGATTATTGGCACGGGCCCACATGCAAGTCAAACATAGAAAGTACACTTAGGTGCGCATCCCATTTAATGGAAATGGGGCCAATGTAGTCCATGAATAGATAGGTACCAGAAGGGGATGGTCGATGGATTAGGACGAAGCCGCGATACGAGTTTTCGTTCAATTTTATAGTGCTTGTGATATACCGTCGGCAATATATGCAATGTTTCAAAACCTTTTTGACCACCGAGAAAAAGTGCGGTTTCCAAAATTGTTCAAGTACTGCAAACTACGCAATATACGCCGGCATTAGAAAACTTTTCATGGAAATGTCAAATGATCAGAGTGGTCAATTTACAAGCTGTGGACAGCAAAATCGTGAAACGATGAAAACCGTCCGATGTGCCTCAATCTAATTTAGATTTAACGCGAAGCAAGCCGTCGCAATCGACAAACTATTATAATTATTATACGAAGCATTTATCGTGGCGTCTGCTTCAAGCGAACTTCGAGGGCACGTCACACATAGGAATAATAGCAAGCAAAAAATAAATAGACACATGAAAGGATGAGAACGGACAAAATGAATAAACACTAGATTCATAGGCTCTACGAAATAGTTCCGTCTTTGGGCGTCGACGAAACACCTGCAACGAAGGAGCCGAAGTTACGGAAGCCGGCAGACTGTTCCAGGCTCTGGCGGCGGCGACCAGGAACGCTGTCTCCAACGACAGATAGACGTGTAGATGGTACGACGAGGTCTGCTGTTGATAACGAGCCCAATCCTCTTCTAGAAGGTAGATCCGACACGCGCTGCAGACCTTAAGATAAGGAAACCGTGAGATAAGGATGCGCCAGGCAGTGAAGGTATCGGAACGTCAGAACAGCGACATCGAACTGCGCGCGCTGCTGAATGCGCAGCCAGTGAAGATTGCGCTATATCGGCTTCACATGGTCGAATTTTTGCTTATTGCAAGGTCGGGTTTGGCTGGCAGAACACGAATTTTGACTTTCCCATCAACGTGAGAAGAAAAGGTATAGCAGAATAGATTTGATATTAACGCTGCTTTGCAACGACTCCTTCACCGTGATAAGATTGCCACTACTTCTGATTTTTGTATTGATTGATGGTTTACCTTAGGCATCAAATTTAGGTTTAGCGTTTGAGGGAGACGCGTTCGAGCACAAGAACGAGAAATGCCATCCGCTGCAATGCATACATTTAGTTCTGAAGCGATATCGGCACGCTTAATTAAGCCGCGTGACCGACGTTGCCGCACTTCAAACTTCAAACATGCGTGCTTCGCAATTTGTCCAGCTTGGCGCCAGGCGTTGCTAACACGGTACATTCGAATTAACGGATGGTCTGCTTTGTTTCCGGCGGTGCACAAAAATTACAGGGTTTAAATGCTCTTTCAGAAAGTTTGGATTTATAATTGACAGAGGAAGCAAAACCGGATAAATTAATTATCAGCATTGAGCGCTTCTGAGGATGGAACACATTTGGTAGTTACAACTTCAACAATATAGCGCTCACAGGCTTCGAAAAAAATAGTCATTAGTTTCCTCTTAAATAAGGTTTAGAGAGATCAGAAATTCGAATGAGCTCTGCCTGAAATTTTGCGTTCAAGCCACACCAAAAGAAATACTGCAGGAAAGAATCAACATCAATTTACAGTTTGGCGATGCTTTATGAAATTACACGCACCGTGGCAACAAATTCAAGAGGATCGTTGTTTTCAGGATCTTCATTCGAGTCAGGCGCTTAATTAATAGTATGGAATTTTTGAACATCTGGTGAAGCTAGTGCGCTCAGGAGCAAACATTCGGCATGGGCATATCCTGCTTGCCAGACTGTAACGAATTTAGTAGAAACAAAACGCGTCCGTTGACCTGCTGTTTAATTTGTTTAACGTAACCAGGGTAGTAAAATTTTGCAATAATCTATTTAAATCCACGAAATAATCGATCCAAATCTTCACCGTCGTCGGTACCCGCGAATTTGGGCAAATGCACGGTCGTACTGCACAATAAGCTGCGAGCAGCGTCCATGCAATGGCGAATACGGTTGAGTAGGATGAACTTTGAGTTGGTCAAGACATTTCCTAATCTTCAAATTATATTCTTTGCATGTAGCCAATTTATTTCAAACTTAGATTCATCTTCTTTATCGCTCCAAAGCAGAGCCTGAATCCTCTCGTCGAATCTTTAGGTCTGGGAGCATAATCATTAAGGGACGCGGGCACTTCTGATCTCTCCGAGGTTGGCAACGCATGGACAGTATCATGGCCGTTATACAGCTCGGTAATCAGTTTCTTGGCATACTTGTGTGTATATTAACCAACTGTGTAAACGATATCACGTATATTCAAAATTATCACTGAACAAATTGCAAATTGGCTGTCAATGGTATGCACACGAAATTTCAGTCAATGCTGTATTAATTTTCAGGTGCATAAAAATACACATGCGCCCACATATGAGGCAGCAGCACACGAGGAGAGACGGACAGGGTCAGCAGAACAAGAGCCTTCACTACATCCCGTCGGATATGCCATGCACGAAAATCCAGCGCGACCTCCCTTTTCAGTGGAAGGAATATTTAATTGCCACAAAATTTAGGATGATAATGAAACATCTCTTAGTAATGAATTTGTTAATTCTGAATTGTGTTCATGGGAAGCCCTAATTTTTGTAAAATTGGCCCGAGTAAATTCAAATGTAAATTTACACGCTGAAAGTCTCACTCCATAATGATGATGAAGTGGACGCAAGGGTCAAGTTGTGGTGTCGTTGGCAGTTGATGAGAATATTATAGGTGGGCTGTCTCTGAAATCTGAATCGTACTAGAGAGAGCAGTTAGCTTCAATCTTCAAATGAAGATTTTAAGAAAAGAGGAAGGTTGCCTACACCGTTGCAAGAAATGTTGGGAATTGTAGAAAATAAAATCCTAATCAACTCAAACCCCAAAAACAATCTTCAAACTGGAATTATCTTAGGAAAGATAAGAATTTTATACGAGTTGTTGTGAAAACTTCCGTTGTCCGAAGAGAAAGGCTTTCAAATTCTTCATGAATTCCAGATCAAATGTATCGATCAGTAAATAATATATTTACAACAGCAGCGTGCGTAGCAAAGAAAACATTAATATTTACAACAATAGCGTGCGTGGTAAAGAAAACACTAATATTAAGGCATGCGTGAGATGTCTTCAAAAAATTGCTGGAATGAGTATACGGACTTTACTAGATGAAACGATGGGGCTGAAATCCACTCGAACAACGTAGCCCTAATTCATCAAACCAAATTAACGCAGTACAAATAATATTAAAATCCGATGAAAAATGTTACATATACAAAATTTAACGGGATAAAAAATATTATAACAGTAAATGACTGTTATATTACTTAAGTTGAATGTTAAATTAAAACGGCATGCATTACAGAAAGACAATCAGTACTCGGCGGAAATGCTAAAATTCGGAGAAAGCCAGCAATGAATTAAATAAACTGTTGTCTTTAATTAATATGGATATGTTTTTTCTTTGCACTAGACCAAAGGAAATAGTTTCAAATTCGAAATTTTGAGTCCGATCAGTAAATAATTAAAGTTTCATGCTTAAAAATTTAATATTTATGCAGAACGATTCCAGTCACCTGAGCAGAACGATTCCAGCCACCTGAGCGGCACTATTCCAGTCACCTGAGTGGAACGATTCCAGTCACCTAAGCGGAACGATTCCAGTCACCTCTGCAGAACGATTCCAGTCACCTGAGCAGAACGATTCCAGCCACCTGAGCGGGACTATTCCAGTCACCTGAGCGGAACTATTCCAGTCACCTGAGTGGAACGATTCCAGTCACCTGAGCGGAACGATTCCAGTCACCTCTGCAGAACGATTCCAGTCACCTGAGCGGAACGATTCCAGTCACCTGAGTGGAACGATTCCAGTCACCTGAGCGGAACGATTCCAGTCACCTGAGCGGAACGATTCCAGTCACCTCTGCAGAACGATTCCAGTCACCTGAGCGGAACGATTCCAGTCACCTGAGCGGAACTATTCCAGTCACCTGAGCGGAACTATTCCAGTCACGAGGCGGCCCTCGGCCCCTTGCTGTCCTGAATCTCCATCCAGCAGTCCACGTTATCGCCTGGAAAGCGGAAAAATTAGCGGATGCAAAGATGACTACAAAATTTTTGTAAGATTGGTTGATATTAGGAATATACATGAAAAGAAACATTTAAATATGTCTCATTTTATTTTGATGGCCTATTAAATTCATCAGAAACTGAATCTGTTAAGGAAACAAAATTAATAACCTAAGGTGGGCGACCTATTGAACGGGATCGTGATTCATCAAGGAACATGATGTAGAATAAATCGAATTTAACATTTATGACATAAAGTGTTCAATTAAAAGACAAGGGTTATATATTTCTATCGAAAAGGTACAGCATTCAAAAGTCTCAAAAACCAATGATGCTCAAGGATTTGGTACAATCTACATCAATAAAGTTACATTACGAAGTTTGAACGTTTTCAAATTACACATGTTCAAGATGCTAAAAATTCAATTCCTGCCACATTGAGAAAAAAATACAGAATTGAAGCGAAAATAAGAAAATGTTGAGAAAATTGATTCCCCCACAAGATATGAATTACATTATTTGGTTAAAAAATTTTAGACCAACGTAATAAGCAGAAATGGATATAAATTAATTAGCATGATACATGGGATAAAAGAAATAAATACATGAGCGTACAGTACAAAAAGAACGCCTTCTCCATTGAGTCACGAAACTGATTCAAGTGGAAATAGAGCGTAGAACATCGATTTCACCAAATATAAAGCAAACAAAACAGTAATTGAGGTAATTTAATTTATTTTAAAGCAGTACTTTGATGTCGACTACTAAAATGAAATAGGCCATTTTTCGTGAGCAATTAAATTCCAAAGATGCGTACTTAATATAATAATAATAACAGCGGTTTCAGCGTTATTAGGCCGTAGGCCTGTCGCCGATTCTTAACATCGTAGAACATGCACAGTATTTTGCGGTCTCGAACTCGCTACTCACTGCTACAATTCTGCTATGCTTAACCGCCCGGCCTCCTTGCCGATTCTGACCAGAAACTGGCGCACAGAGCTGGGATCGAACCCGTGCCTCTCTGCGCCAATCTTGGTACTCTGAACTGTAACCACTGGGCCACCCTGCCCTCTAAACTACACTCTTTGCTCTCACCTCTATTGAACACTGGATGAAGAAACTATCAGTCGCACGCCGAGATTCGAACCGCTGCCAAGACTGCAGTCGAGTGCGCGTGACCATGCCTTAGCCCACTGAGCCACGGAGACGGCTCCGTACTTGGTAATTTTCTTATTTCTTTAGAAAACAAGTTTACCCTTTGTACCCTTTTACCTCCAATGTAAATATAGGAATAAAAAATCATCTCTGAAATTGAACGCAATTACGTTCAGAGATGACATTCGGAGGTTTACTGGCTTTCTTCTCGTAGCCATACCTACCACTCGCACCGCAACCGTTTCGCCTCATCCCAAATCTGGACACATATATGCATTTATCTACAACGCTCAAGAATAGAAAACTCAAAAAGTAACTGATGAAAAGAAATTATGTCATTGTGAGTGCACATGATGTAATAAAATGGGCTGATATTTTATAAGAATTTTATATTTTCAGGAATGGGGCAGCTCCTATGTCAAATATTTTGGGTGGATTTGAATTCTCACAGCTCCAATGTAACATTCTTTTGTAGAAGCTAAAATCTCATAGCATGGATCTACCATGTCCAATCTACAGCACTGGCTAAGCTCTTCTCAGATATCTGACAGCAATTCACAGGCATCTTACATATCCAAGGCGGAGCATGGTGCAAGCAATACCTGCCCTGAATGCAGTGCCCCTCTCCAGTCAACTCGGCATCTTCTTGCCATCCTGTCATTCCACAAAACTCTCAGCCTATCTTCTTCATGGGACAGTCATGAGGAGGAGGCATCATTATTGGTGTACCCTTCCTGCCCCTGCTCATTTTCACCCTGATCTAATGGCCAAACCTTTTCTTCAATATATACAAATAACTAAGTAACACTTAATAACTTAACTATTAAATAAACAAATAACAATTACTAAACTGAAAATAATTTCCGCAGCATAAATACTCCATGAGAAGTATCTGATTTTGTCATCAGACAGCGGTTTGAACTATTTGATCTCATGTACTGCACTTTTTCAGCAGAAAAATGAAAAACTATTTCTGAAAATCCGAGCCCAGCACAATTAATTATTACCTCGATGAGATCTACTTCGTACTGGATGATGTTGGTGTTCTTGTAGAACTTACCGCCCATGTCAGGTTTGGTGCCGCATTTGTCGTAGTAAATCTGAAACTCGAAATGCATGCCGCCTGACATGGCAGCACGTAGGAACAATCAGGGTTGCCGAATTGCCTTTGGATGACACGAGCCCCTGAAATCTAAATGAAAGAATTAATACGTCATTCAGCAATAAAATGAAGGCTTCCTATATGAGACATCTACAATTTTTGGCATCACATCACACAATGTTGTGGATTGCTCTTAATACTTTGCAGGCTACGCGGCTGATGGGCTAAAAAAGGATGTGCCAGATTTATTTATATACATGAACTCTTTTCCACAATATGATTATTTTACTATAGCAAGTTAATGGATATTAACCAGCGCAATTGAAATTTAAATTAGACATGCCTGTAATACAAAGAATGCAAGACTAAGGAAGTCACGTGTAAGTTGTAAAACAAACAATTGCCGTAAAACAAATTGATTCATTTCCATAAAATATAGCGTTTGGCTATTTTACAAGCGAAAGAGGCAAGATATTAGATCACAAAAATGCAGTTTGGGACATAAAAAGACATAATTGGGCAAAATATTTACGCTGAATCAACGTGGAAAGGCCCCGAGAAGGAGAGGTGAACAATGAGGTGATCCTCGCAACAGTGAGGTGATCCTTGCAACAGTGAGGTGATCCTTGCAACAGTGAGGTGATCCTTGCAACAGTGAGGCGATCCTTGCAACAGTGAGTGATCTGCAACGCGAAAAAACATTAGTTTGTCTTGCATCTCAAGAAACTTTTGAAATCTTTAATAATAAACTTCGCAGACCAGCGTTAACAAATTGCACGTTCAGTCGTTGCATGTCAATCGGGTTGCATATAAAACACCATCACACGAGTGAAGGTTTTAAGTCTCAAGAAATTTTCAGAATCTTGTGAATACAATAAAACTACATGTCGATTTGCGGGTGGATACCTAGAATGAAGTGGTCTCAGAATTTTCCCATGCATTTAGAAATAACGACATTTGGCAAAAATTATTGCCCGATGCGCATTTATACCGCGGTGCTATAAAAATCATTCTAAGAAAAATTTATGTTGGCAATATCTATCAATTCCACAAAACTCGACAGAAATGATGAAAATCAGCCAAACAAGTCATGATATTATTCAGAAGCAAAGTACCTGCTTTAATTTTTCAATGAAAGATTTGAACAGATATGCAGAAACTAATTGGAAACAAATAATAAGGCTTGCCTAAACCCAATTTCTCAACTTCAGGCTTTAGTGGACAAAAGCAACTGATGAGAATTCTTAAGATATATTTCCTAGTGAAAATAGTTGCTGGAATCAATCAATGATCACCTATAAATTTATATATAAGAGCTATATTGATTTATTTGCAGCGATTTGTACGTTTACCTGCGTTTGAGTTACAGCCTGGACATGCTTGGAATTACTAATGATGACTGTTAGTCATAAAAAATAATAACTTTTTAAAAATATAACGGATGTATCATTTGAGCATAAACTTTACAGTAAACAATGTCTTTTTTTATTGAATCATACTGGAATGAATGATTCAAACTGGGATAAATGATTAACGTGAAACATGTTTTAATTACGAACACTTACGAAGAAGCAAGAAAGCATCAGATATGTATTATATTAGAAAATAAATAAAATAGGCTGAGCATTAGTAGGAAAAAATAAGACGGCAGCTGTTCAAGTTATCAGCGAAAGCTGATGATGGGACCAAACAGTGACACAGTTAAGCGGTACGGCGCTGTAGCCTCCCACTCAAGAGAAGATGACATAAAAATACCAGAAAATAATTCTGGTATTTTATTTCTGGAAACTAATTACATTATTTTTGATGGCTTGAACTTTAATTGCATTTTTTGAGCAATGTTAAAATTATCAAATATATGTTATTGAAGTGCGCACGCGGAGCGGTGTATGAATTATAAAAAAAATAGATAAAATTTAATGAAAATCTTATTGACTTAATCAAAAATTAAATTGCGCATGAAAAGCGGCGGACTAATCTTTAAAAAAATGGATGAAAGTTGACAAGGTAAATAAATCAGAAACTTGATTATTAATTACAAAGTTGACAAAGTGATACCCATCCAATGAAGGTTGTAGCTAAAGACACTCTTCTACTTCCTGGCTGAAATTTATTGTTTTGATCTTTTATCGTCGTAAAAATATAGTGCAAAGTTAAAAATGACACTTAAAGCAATTTTGACGAATTGGACAATTTATATGTCATGTTACCATGCTAGCAGGTGGGACAAATCCATTGTCCACTTCAGAGTTAATTAAACAGTGGAAGCTATTAATGTTGTTTAAATGAAAGAATTTTCTGTTAAAATTATACTTAGGGATAGTACAGCAAAACAAATGAAACAAGTGAAGAGTGTGGCATTGATCAGTGGCTTTAACTGGCAGTTCCACTGATAAGGCTTATGAGTACTGTTGGCTGTTCTAACTTCTAGGCCAAAACCTTAGTTTATAGGGAGCACAGGGTAGGACTAGACACTAGACTAGACTGTCTAGACACTAGAGTGACAGTGACACTGCAAGAAAAATAAATGGAACATAAATAACCCTAGTGCTAAATAGAGAATTCACAAGCAAAAATAATTCAATCTCTTAATTAACCAATGCCAGAATTTAATCTAAAATATTTATTATGACTGAAAATGCATTAAAACTGTGACCATCAAACAAGAAATAATCAATTAATTTAAACAAGAACATTACTTCAATAATCAAGATAGGCTTGGATAACTAACGCATGAATAAGCAAATAATCATTAACTGCAGTAAAGTGCATAATGAACAAGGAATTTACCACTTGTGAAAGAATTACAATTGATTTGACAAAATAACTAACGCTGTAGGCTAATACACAAAATGTTCCGATTTCGGAGAGCAGACTTACCCAGGTTTGCACTTCCAGACTAATACAACACTGAATGCCAGTGGCTGCTAGTTACTAAATTAGTTGTGCAAAAATTACTCTGAATAAAAAATGGAAAATAATTAAATCGAGTCAGGAGTTACTGAAAAATACTTAATTAAAACACAGACTGGTTGAGTGAGGCCAGATGCCTTCCGGCAACAATGTTTAGTCCGTGAATTAATTTCTCTACACTAGTCAGGTAACTTATAGCGCGTATATATAATATAACAATATTCTGAAAAGCGATACGGCCAATCATGTTAAGTCATGGTGAAATCGTCTAATCCAGAGGAACGTTATCCCTTAGTTGCTGAGACAGTTATAAAAACTGCTATTATTTTTAATAACTTCTAAGCTAATACACACAGTTTGTAACTGATCGACTCTTCCCGGGCCTCAAGTTTGACCTTGACAGGCCTAAATATTTTTCTGGACCAAACTCCTGAGACATTTTTCTCCGACTCAACGAAGAGCTATAAAAATTGCTCCAGTGCTGTCAATAAATTTTCATATAATAGATCCATTAGATTTTGATTATACCTATCGATTAGATTTTATCATACCTATACCTTTGATATCATTCGATCCCACCACCATCTGCAAATGAAACACGCATGCAAAGAATTATAATACTACCAATATTTTGAAACATCAGAATGCCATTTTGTTTTTCTACCACATAACGCGTAGAATGAATCAACTAAAAAAGGAAAATTAGTGAAGTCTGAAAAATCTCATTGAAAGAGTCTCATGCAATAAGTGGGTTATTATGAATATGATGTTAATTGTAATGGAATATTTTGACATTCCTAAATATTCATTTCCATTTGGGACGTGGATTTATTTCCAGTGAAATTTGTATTCTCCTCACGAAATTGCTAGGAATAAGTCCGCGCCAACCCTCAGCCTGAACTTTTACTGCACTGGGGCCATACTTTCAAAACTCGCTAAGTGAACGTAAGTACTTACGCTCCATTTTATTACTACGTTTTTCTTAGCTCGCTTTCGTGTCTGTGATGATCAAATCTTGCAATCGATATTTCACCAACTTTCCCATTAGCTAGCGCTCTGAAACTTTTAGGGAAGCTCAGCTCCCGATTTTTTTTTATACATTTTATTCTTGTCTATGATTGGTGGATAATGCTTGAAAGGCCGTCAATGATTGGCTGATGAACTTACGATCTCTTAACTTTTTTTGAAAGTATAGGCCCAGATGTTCAACTTTACAGAGCAGCAACAGTCCTGTGAAACAGTAGGTGAACTGCAGGTCCTCCAGAGAAACTAACATTTCAAACGAATTAAACAAAACAAAAAAAATAAAAAAATTTTAACGTTATAGAATTTTTCAGTTCGCCGGTAAGTTAATAAAATTTGTTCATGCAATTTTAAAATAAGTCACGAGAAGATGTTTTTGCCACCGAATCTAACGAGCGACGAGCACGCGAGCAAGAAGATATTGACATTTTTGTCAACTTTTGGCTTTTTTAGCCTTAACTAAAACCTGAATGGACGTCAAACGCGCTATGCTTTTACACGCCGCATCATACTGAGTATCGAAAAAAGTAGGAATGGAAGTGATTTATTAGACTATAATGGAAAAAATTACAGTGACAAGCGTTTTCGTATTTGACGATATGTTGTTCGAAATGCGTGAGGCGGCACATTATATCTCTTTGGTCAAATTCAATCACTACCACCTTAGTCAGAGTTTTGGCTCCTGTTATTCCTTCGTATAGGTTAGGTCAGGTTGGGTAAGGTAAGGTATCTTCAAGTAATTTTATTATTTACCTCTGAACAGTTTGTGGTTCAAATCTCAAACGGTAAAACAGAGGGGAGAGACAGTGAATACGATTCTGACCGTAACCTGTAACAATTGTCACGCTACTGGCTGGTGTGTACAAAAGTATTGAAGATCAAATTAATTTTAAATCATCACATTTCTCGAACTACGCGCCACGCCCACGCTTATTACGTTTCCATGCAAGCAGAGAGTTGGGAAATTAATTTGTGTCACGAGATAAAAAATTATTACTGTTGACTGCAGCCATTATCACGAGATGAAAAGGTTGTTATGCAGAGCCATCAGAGGTTTATTCTTGGAAACTCAGGATAAGAGATGTCATCAATTTTCGATTTATATGAAAGCTCGTGCAAAATAATTAATAACTGGGGCAATTAATTTGAGAAGTGAGCTCTAATTCTGTGTTAACCACACGGGATATAACATTGAAATGGACACTGAAAAATACACAGTCCTCCCTATCAATTACTGTGGTGCAAAACTTTGTTTATTGGGTGCCATGTCTGAAATCATTTGTTGAGTCTTTGTAAACATTATAGGTTACAAAGTCTCGATGTTCGCAATGGTATCACGCGATTCGTGCAATTGCGTTCACTTTAGAGCTAGTGACTAGTTGTTGTACCGATTCTGGAGTGTGGAAAATCATTAATAAAATAGAATATAAACAATAGTTTCATCCCTGATTTACTTGCATCGTCTCATAATATTGTTGAAATATGCAATGAAACACATTTTCATAATTAAGTTATTACGAAAATTATATTAGTTCATTGGAGCAGGGATTGAATTCGGTTTGTGCGGAGTAATTCCATCACCAGAACACAGCACTTGGCCAATAATCCAGTGATTTGGCTCTGGGCATTGGGTTGATATAACCTCGGCTAATACTGCCAAAGTGGTATATAAAATCGGGAGACTTGTTCAAGGGCGACTGTAATTGCTGCTTGCGGTGAGGCAATACTATGGTAAAAATAG